CTAACCTTCAGTAGAGGAGAAGAAGAGTTTGAAAAACAAACCTTACCCACCTCCAACCCCCCAACAACAAGAGAAGAAGAATCCACTTAATTATGACTACCCTTGACAACAGCCTCCAAACCATAACCTGGATCCGAACCAGCAACACCACCAACATTAATAAGATCTGAATTGTCCACTCCCTTAAAGCCACCCTCCACACCAACTTTCCTTCCTACAAGTCCAGAAGAAATACTTGTGCCCGTATTTGTCATCCTGGCAGAATCTAGCCCCCTTCTTTGCCATCCAGAATTCCTAAAATTCCTCTTACCATAGTTCACATGGATCCAAGGTCGATAGCCATCCCCCTGCTTCACCACACCACCTTTTGTACAACCTCTATCAATATCCAGTTTAGGGTCACCAGAAGGAGCTTCCTTACTAGCATTAGAATGGAAAACTGAGTGAATACCATCAACTTGTCCTTCATTCATTCCAATTTCAACGCAATTACCACTTAAGTGGCCAATCCTATCACATATGAAACAGAATTTAGAAATCCTCTTCATTCAATTCTTTGAAAAAATCTGCCCAAGCTTCCTTCGACCCAAACACCCAATGGAAGTTGTTCTCCAACAAAATCCGAACACGAACTCAAGCAAATCCGCTCCCCCCACCCCAATTGAAACATATTATCATCTAACAGAAGAGGAGTACCAACTTGGGAAAAAATTCTAAACAAATTATCTCATCCCAGCATTGCAAAGGAAGATTCGGGGCAGATAACCCCTTCAAAGAGGATGGAGAAAAGCTTGGAGACCACTTATCAAGGCCAATAATATGTCCATTAACAAACCAAGGCCCTTCCGACAAGACCGACTCGGCATATTCAGGTTCATTAAAGGAACAAAGAATCCATTGAAGACACAACAGAGTTAAATGAAACTTGCCTAATCTAGCCCATTGTCTCCTTAGTTCAATGTTGATTACTGAAAAAGGAACATTATCGCCAAACACTTTGACAACCACATCATTCTTCAACTTTCTAGTATTCTCCCATTCATTTTACACATTTAACTTACAACTTTCCCATCATCAGTCAAACAAGATCCATAATCCAGTTTATCTATTGTAATATTTGGTTTCTTGCTCCAAACATTTGGCATAACATTTCCAATAGGTTCCTTCATAGTAGGTAACACAGATGTATTGGTCCGATTGTGACACAAATCCAATTCTCTCGAATCATATTGGCGAACAATATTAAGATCCTTTCATAAGAGTATCATCCTTAATTACAGTAGAAGCCTCCTCAGAATTGTGGACAGATAATCCTACCTTCTTACCTATACCAATACAAGTGGCTGAAACATCATAATCAACCATCACCTTATCACGAAACGTATTTGAATCCTCCAACCCTAAAACAGTATTGTTATTCCCAAACCTACAGATGTGAATCTTGAATCCTATCAAGGACAACGCACCAGAATCAAAATTAAAGCTATCTCCCAACTTCTTAGATGTAAGAACATCAGAAAATTTCGAGCTTTTAAACTCGTTCTCTTTGACAATTCCTTTTCCTTTCCTTTTCCAATCACAGAAGAAATATTCTTAAAATTAGTCAATCCACCTTCATTAATAATCAAGGGTTTCTCTTTAACATGATTGAAGCGAACATCTTTGAACGAGGAACCAACAATACCAATATAAAGCACATCTCCATAAGAAAGAAGCGCATATTCTATTAACGAATGAACAAGACCCCTAGAAGCAACAGCTGGAGGATGAACGATCTATTTGATGGCCGGCGACCATCCACCGCCGTGCCAGAAGGCGAAACAGAGGGAAACAGATGTTTGAAAAAACGCACTCTCTCACTAGAAAATCGGATACTCTCTCACTATAAACAACAGATAACACCAAAAAGTATAGAGAGAAGTATAGAGAGGTTTGATGGAGAAGTATAGAGAGAATAAGAAGGATCTTCATATGATATTTATTGATTTAGAGAAAACAAATGATAAAACTTAAAGAGAAGTGCTATGGAGAGCTCTAAAAAAATAAAAGGATTAATAATGCTTATATTCAAGTAATAAGGGATATGTATGCTCGAACTATTGCTTGTGTTCAAACACAATGTGGTTTGACTAAGTAATTTCCAATTTCAGTTGGATTACATCAAGGATCATCCTTAAGCCCATATCTTTTTGCTTTAGTCATGGATGTTTTTACTAGAGATTTGCAAGAGGATGATCCATGGTATATGCTTTTTGCTAACGATATTCTTCTTATTGATAAGACTAAAGAAGGAGTTAAAGGTAAACTTAAATTATGGAGGTCAACCTTAGAGTCTAAAGGTTTTCGATTGAGCAAATCTAAAACCGAATACATGGAGTGTAATTGTAGTAATAATAGATCTAGTGGGGGTTTTGTAACTTTGAGCTATCATGTCATTAGTAAGAGTACACATTTTAGATATATTGGGTCTATTTTTTAGAGTGATGGTGAAATAGATAGGGATATTATTAGTAGAATTCACGTTGGATGGTTGAAATGGAGGAATGCATCGGGCTTGTTGTGAGATAGAAAAAAACCACTCAAATTTAAGGGAAAATTCTATAAGATGGTGGTTAGACGTGCAATGCTTTATGGCGTAGTGGAAGAGTGGCTTTACTCTTAGAGATAGAATATGAAACAAGCATATATGTGAAAATGTTGGAGTAGCTCCCGTGGCAAATAAGATTAGAGAGCGTCGCCTTAGATGGTTTGGTCACATAAAATGGTGGCCTTCCGATGACCCAATTAGAAGAGTAGATGTATTATAGTTTACCTATGTTAAGAAAGTGGAGACTCTGTCTGCCACTTACCGTTCTAAGATCTAAAAATCATGAAGCCCTCTCGGGAGATTTTAGTAAGGACCCTATCCAACAAAAAATATTCTTCGAGGCATCAACATGCATTATATTTTTGTTTAATAAATGGAGATTTTATCTATCACTTACACTCCTAGAATCCATATATTATGAAGCCTTCATACAAACTTACTAGAATGAACCTTCTCCAAAACTAAATACCCATCACACAAGTTGAATTGGCATGCCTTCCAAGTTTTTTTGGATTATAGATCTTTCTTCGAGGCTAAGGAGATAAGATTCTTCTGAACAGATTTTACGAAAATCGTCCTATATACAAGAAGGATATTAAAATGATTCAACTATTGTGAGTCAATGACTATAACGACACCCTTCTCCATATCTGACAGCAATTGTGCAATATATTAGATATTAATCATTGAAGATATCTCCTATAGTGGTAAAAAAAAGAATCTTGAGGTGTCTATGTAGCTTGAAACAATAATGAGCAGTAAAATTGGTTATTCTCATGATAGTAGGAAGATCAAGTGATTGATAAAACAAGTATTGCATGTAAACGTATTATTTGGCATTAGATGTTAGAGGATGTCGGGTGGTAGGTGATGAAGAAAATTGGAATTCATGTGATAGTTAATAAGGAATATCAAAAGTTAGATGATAATCTGTGATCGGGTCAATCATTCTCCAGATAGGATGGGTGCTGAGTGTTCAGAAGATGGACATTAAATGTTGATCATTGGTTGATGGGTGATCGTTGTTGAGGAAAATCTAAAATTGGGTGACAATCAAAAGTTAACAAGGTCATCCTCTTGATAAGAGGGCAAACCAGATAACAGGTAAGATTGGATTCAAATGTCAATGGTTGACCCACATCAAATGAGGGTCGTTGATTTGTGTCAGAAAATAGTCAAAAAGATGTGTCAAATGTAATGTGATGTTGAAAAATGACATTTGTCAACATCCAGCAATGAATACTTGTTATAGCAAGCATCATCATTGGCCAACAAGTGGTGTATGGAGTGTGGTGACATTAAACATTTACTTAACCTGACAAACAATATCAAGTGGTGGTGAGCACAACTCAAGAATTCTCTGCATGTGGGAATTCTCTTCACAAAAATTTATACCTTAATATGTGTAAAAACAAAGCACACTTGTATATTTTTTAGATGAGCATTTTGTTTATGGAGCTAAAAATTTGAACACTCCATATAATTTGACCTAGATCACTTTACGTTTTTTAAGCATCCCCTTTTCTTTATCAAATTAATTTGTGCAGTCATGGGATAGTAAAATTTCTCTCTATGAAATGCTCGTTTCAATTATAACATAATAAATGATCTTAATAAATTTTTAACAATGCTTTTGAGTGCTTATTTAGGCCCATTTGTGCTTGGATCCAAGCATTCTTGACATCGTTAGGCTCATATCATGAAACCACACTAAATCGATTGATTATAAGTTTACTTAAAATGATATTCAAATGATCCAAAAAATAATTAATAATGTAGTTAACTTAAAAAGAATTCAAATGATGACAAAAACAATTCCATAAGCATTTGTCTGATAAGATTCCTTTGATCATTTAATATTTTTTCTGACATCCTAGCATCTTAATCAACTTAAAATTAAACAATCTTAGGCTTGTTGGATTTCTTTCATTGAGACACTCATTTTAACTATAAAAACAACATTTGGAAGATGTAATTGAACTTAAGAAATTTATATCTTCCAAGCCATTTATGCATATTTGTGTTTAGGATTCAAGAATTCTCGGTTTCATTAGGTTCATCTCATCAAATTGCACTATCTCTACTATAATTTTACTCAAAATGGAATTCAGATGATCCTGGAAATAATCCATAGAATTTCTAGCCCAAATACTAAGTGCTTTGAGATATGTAAATTGTATCAATATCCATGGTAAAACATATGAATTTATTGATGTATCCTAAATCCTAGAGCTCTACCTCTTCTCTTCTCATAGGCTTGGCTTATTACATTTAAAATGATGGCACGCAGCACTACATTTTTTTTTTTAATCTAAAATGACAGTTTTACAGGCAGCTTCTTGTAAACTAGGGCATTTGCAAACATGATATTTGAAACAGAAACCAAAAAATCTAGATCGTTGCATCTTCGTACCTTGCGCGGTAACACTCGGACCTTCTCTATAATTTCGCTTTCATCCTCGAATGCCGAGCGGACCTCAAGCTCGAATAGCCTTGAGAGAAAGAAGGACTGGCCGAGGTGTTCCACGAGCTTCCGGATCTGCTTAGACTTCACGGAGATAAGTCTCTTGTTCCCACCCTCTTCCCCGTTCTCTTGCTCAAAAACAATGCTCGGGACTCTACCCGCCTTCCTCTCCTTGGAAGAGATGTTCTTTCCCGACTTCAATCGAGGGATCGCAACGATTGTCTCGGCGTACTTGGGATCAGGCCGGGGAAACCCCTCCAGGTACCCTAGTGGGGCCGATGGATTGCCGATGGGATAATGCTCAAAAAGGGAACCAGCGGCGACCGTGAAAGAGAAGGAGCGGCCGTTGTGCAAGAAGTAACTGAAAATCGCCGGCGGCAAGCGGCGGACCAACATTTGGTGCTGGCCGAAAAGGTGTAAATAAAGGTTTAGGTAGGAGAAAGAGGGAAAAAGAACAGACGGGAAAACTCGCAGCGTTCTATGAGGGGAAACTTATGATCTCTTGCCCTTCGGTGGTGATTTAGAGCCTTAGAGGCTAGCTACGTCAAAATTATTTGGTAGACGTATAGACTTCAATACAATGCTATACTGTCACGTGTTAGTCAGACGATTGATTGATGAAAATTTAATATTTAGCATGTGCTTTCCAATTTACGTGGGGCACATCAACTCTGCCCAAATCAAACACGAAAATTGAAAAGAAACACACCAAATTTTAGAGTTTGTGATATTGGCGGACTATTTTTGACAACTGAGACATGTTTTTTTCTTTTGAAAAGAGCTGAAAAAGAATAGAGAGGAAGAGGGTATGAAGAGTGGAAACTGGATTGGAGGATGTCGAATTCTGCGAGGAGATGGAAGACGTTACTCAAGAGACACAAAACGTTCAGGAAAACTTACCGCAATGAACTACGGGAGATAAGTCGTGATATTATCGGTAAATTTTAAACTCTGAAAAGGTTTTACTATTTTTTATTTGAAAATGTAGAGATTTTAATGGTTTAGGGTATATCGTTCTAATCTTTTTTGCTCCTTCGAATTTATATTGTTCTACATATGATTATGCTAGTTTAGATTATGTATAATAGTCTAGATAAAAACAAAATTTGATATGTATTATTGTTGTGTATTACCTCTTTTGTGTACCACTCTGTGTTCCTATTTATTTCGCTTTTGCATGCAGCTTATGTATACCCTTATGTTTAAATTTTGTATCACTATTGTGTACCTATGTACCCCTGATTTTTGTGTATTGCCATGTTTATATAATAACGTTAAATATATTTTTCTTGTGCACAGGGTATTTATAACTCTCAGAAGGATGCATATAATATGCATTGCCATTATAATCATAATCTGGGTTTTATCCTTCACAAAGAACATCACAGTTTATGGCCTCATTCAAGAAAAATAAGATGGAATAACTTTGTGTGTTCGAAAGCTGGATTTAAGAAGAGTATTGATTTAAATTCCAAATCAAAATATCAAAAACCAAATACCAAAATAGAGTGTCCCGTTACGATTAGATTTTTAGTTGATGAAATGGAGTTTGAATGGTACAAAAATGCATAGAGAGCCACAATCACAAATTAGCTAGGCGGGAAGATCAACAACTACTTTCATAATATAGGAATATTAGTGATGAGAAATTATTCATTCTTAAATTAATGGCATAAGTTGGGATAAGAACCATTGATGCCTTTACCTATCTAGCCGATGAAACATGAGATGTAAAAAATATTGGATTCTCTAAGAAGGATGCATATAACTACATTCAAGAAGAGAAGTGAGCAAAGATTGAGAATGAGAATGCCTATTTCCTAATTGAACTATTTAAAGAATGACTAGTTGATGACAACATGTTTGCATAGGACATCCAAATTGATGGCATTGATAGATTGTTGAGTTTTTTTTTTTTTTTTTGTAGATGGGTTGGGGAGAATATATTATGATTGCTTTAGAGATGTGATAATTTTTTATGCCAGCTATAGGCTTAACTAGTATAATTTAGCTTGTGTAGCCTTTGTTAGAGTTAATAATCACCGGCACAATATTTTATTAGGGGTGGTATTTTTATCAGAAGAGATAATTAAATTATTTACCTAGTTATTTTGAATATTTTTTTATAAACAATGAGTGATAAGTTTCCCATAATAATATTTACTGATTAGGATCATGCAATGGCTAATGCAATAGAAATTGCATTACCTCACAAACACCATAGGCTCTGTCAATGGCACATCAACAAGAAAGCTCCGTCCAAGGTATGGTGCTTCAATAGCAGTAATAAAGTTAGAGGGTTATTTTATAGGTGTTTAAGCAAGTTTGATTCTAAGGAGAAGTTTGAGAGAAATAGGGCTTAAATGATCAATGAAGGGGATCTCCACAACCATGACTAGTTAAATGAGCTTTGTAGAATCAAGAATAAGTGGTCAATAGCATTCAACAAGAGTTATTTTAATCTTGGCATTCATTCAACACAGTGTAGCAAGTCCACTAATAATATGTGCCATGACATTTCTAAGCCAACTAGTTATATAATTGATTATTTTCTAGGCTTAAAGAAGGTGATGATGAGTTGGCATTAGGATGAACTGGATGAAGAATCTAGATGCAGCTAGTCTGAGATAGTACCTTTAATAAAAAGTTGTTTAGCCTTATTTTATTCAAAAAATTTATTTACATTTTTTTAAGAAGAGTTTTTACATGTTGTGGGTTAAATGTGTATAGATCATGTGTCAAGTGACTCATCTATATTTTTTTTGTCAGAAGCATCGAGAAGATTGATCAGTCGAAGCATTAGACTGTTCATTTTGATGCAAAAGAGGTTATCATTCAATGCATATGTGGGAAGTTTGACATGATGGGTTTACTATATTGTAACTGCATGAGAGTTATAAGGTACTTAGACATAGTTAATATTCCTTCGAAGTACCTACTATTGAAATGGTCAGCTAGAGCTCAAAAATATATTAATACTGGTTAGACGTTCTTAGGTTAGGGAAAGAAGGTGAGCATATCTCAAGAGGGATGTAGTGGTATGACATTCAAAATTTATCTTAACAGATTTAGATATCAAATTAGCACATGAGCATGGGGGAATAAGGAAGTAGAACTAAATATATTGGTTGCAATAACTAAAATGGCTGCATTGCAAATCTGGATCTAAATCCTGAAATTTTTATGATAGCAAATATCATTGAATTTCTTACTATATTATCTCATGTTACCTATTATTATGGCATATCTCCTTTTTTCTATGCACTAACATTTCAGGTCCACTATACACTTGTAAGTTTGATCAGCTAAAGATTTGGTAGATTAGGATTAAGTATGTTGTGAAAAACCTTTATCTTCATTTCTTATATATATATATATATATATATATATATATATTAATCTTTTTTGGATCAAATCATGTATTTGGTGGATACTAAGCTTGGTAATTATTCACACACACTCAAGGGAGTGATTTAGTGACAATATCAAAAGTTAGATTTTTTTAACTAATCGTATTATAGTATTCATATCATAATATACAATCAGCTAATCAGAAAATGATAAAAATAGATAATTGTGATAATTAATGTATGATAAACTAGTCATACTTTACATGTATATCATATAGGATAATCAATTAAAAATCAGGATTCTAGTCATCAATCACAATTTAGGAAACATTTTAAAATTCAAATTTTATACTCATCATATTGGATAATAGGTATCGTAGTGCAGGATATAATTAAATCTTGCATAAATTAATCCTATAATTATGAAACAAATTTAGAATAATTGATCCAATCATATCATACAAGATGATTGGACTAATTCGTAATGTACAACTCGATTCCTATATAAGATAATAATTAGATTATCAACAATCATCCTGGATGATAATCCTGATCATTTAAACTAATCATATTGAATGATAATCTTAATCGTCCTAGACGATCAACTCAATTCTTTGAACTAATCGTACAACACATAGCTATTCATACAATACTAATAGGAGTAATTTGTACTAATCATATTGGATGATAATAGATTGTACTGTATGATCAGTCACATAATTAAATTTAGTTCTATTTATGAGACCTTGTATTTAATCTTTCTCATTGATTTATTTCAAAGTTTTTGGTTGTAGAGTGTTCTTGAGAGGGAGCTTTGAGAAGAAGATCAAGAAGAGCTTTGGGAAGAAGAGGGAGAGCTTGTGTGTGAGGGAGTAGTGTGAGGGGTTGACACAATTGCTCTAAGCATGTGTTTTACCATATTCCTCCAAGCCCCTGTCTAGGTTTCTTGGGTGGCTTTAGGGAGAAATTCATCGGCTCAAGGACGTGGTTCTCTACCATCATCAGAGGATGAGAAAGGAGTTAAAGGTACTCCGCCTTCTCCAGGAGGGATAAAAAAGATTAAATGTTTACTATCGTCACCTAGAGGGTGAGAAAGGTTCTCCAAAAATGGACGCAGGTCATTATTTGACATAACCATTATAAATCACTAGTGTGTTTATTCTAATTTCTATTTTTTGCACTTTACTTTTTGCATTTTAATTATGATATAACTTCTTGGTAACAATCATAATCAATGCTTCATTATATTGATTAAAATATCATCATCCTTGCTTAGATGTTTTGGTAAATTTGCTTGCTTCCGCACTAAGTGAAAATTCCTATTTATTTTTCAAATATTAAAAAATCTAAAAATATTGTCTTTATTTTTTAAATTAAGAAATTAGTTTTTAAATTCATCAAATCACCCTCCTATTGGTGTGCCTAGGGACAAGTTCACTTAGGCTTAACATCCTCGTCAAACTTTCTAGCTTAAAATGTTGACTTGATCTTGAATGAAAAGAAAAAGAACCATAACTTTGTTGGAAACATAGTAAGTGTTGGGTTTAAAAACTTTAAAAACCCATGCAAGTTCTGGCCTAAAGGCATCTCTAATGCAAGATTGAAGAGTCACTAGGAGAGGAGATAATGTAAGAAAATTAAACTTGTAGACCAGACCAGTCCGACAATAGAATAATGTACAGTCAAAAAACCAGTTAGTCAGGTGAAGTTCATAAACATATCATAATGCTTTATAGATGAGTATATTCTCTATTGACCAACCAATCAATAGACTCCAAAATATATAAGAAACTTACGATGAACTTAACCATTTCTTCCCTTATCATCAACCTCTAAAAAAATCAATCTTTGTTGGTGCTGATCTTGTAACAGGTATTTACTATCTTCTACTTCAATAATCATAACGGCATCTTGGAATTCTTCCATATGTGCAGGCTTTTAGACTTGTTGTTTGTTCTTTCTTGTCATTCACTTTTCTTCCCTGGACTAGTGCTGAATGGGGTCTTCACCAATTTCCTCTTACGGTCATCCCTCTCCCTTAGTTTAGGTGCAATACTAGTGGCATAGGTTACATCAAAGCCCTCTTCTTCCGCATCTTCTATGATTGGTACTTTTTATCCACATTTGGAATAAATGGTTTTTTAATTGGTGAAATGACAAAATCTATAATAGCTACTTTGTTACCTTCAT